CTCTTTCCTTCCCTATCTACTCTCTTCTCTCTAGGTGTTTGTGACACTACTCTTTAGGTTCATCTCCTATCTCTCTGACCACTCCTTCTCAGTCTCCTTTGGTGGATCCTCATCCAGTTTTACCTGGTAACTCTGGGTGTCCCTCAAGGCTCTGTTCTTGGAGCCCTTCTCTTCTCCTTCTATGTTATTTTATTTGGTGGCTACATCAACTCCCATGGATTCAATTATCATCCAAATGCAGATGATTTTTGATCTATTTATCTAGCCATAACCTTTCTCCTGACCTCCAGTCTTGCATCTCCCACTGCCTGTTGGACATCTGAAATGGAATGTGCCCTCAGCCGTATCCAACTCAAGGTGTATACTCAAGAGTATAACTCGCCTTCCTTCCCAAATCTTCCTCTCTTCAAACTTCCCTATTACTGTAGAGGGCACCACTACCCTGCCAGTCACCCCAGATCACCAGTCATCCTAAACTACTTACACTCACCCCTCAAATCCGATCTGTTGTTTCTGTCTTTACATCATCTCTCTACTGCTGCCCTTTCTCTTCTCTGATGCTGCCCCACCCTGGTTCAGGCCTTCATCACTTCATATGTGATCTGTTGTAATAGCTGATGTTGGGCTGCCTGTCTCAAGTTTCTCTCTGCTCCAACCCATCCTCTCCACTCAGGTGCTGAGGTGAGCTTCCTGAAGCATATGTCTGACTATATCACCCCCTACTCAGTAAACTTCAGTGGCTCCCTCGTGCCTCCAGGATTAAATAGGAGACTCTTTCTTTGATGTTTAAGTCCACTCACAACCTTGTCCCTTCCTATCTTTCTATTCTTTTTTACACTTTACGCCTTCCCTCTATGAGTCCTCATGGACTCTCTAACCTAGCTGGCTTCCGTGATGTTGCTCATAACTCTCCGTCCACCCTCCCTTCTTACTTCCACCTCTTGGCTTCCCCGGCTTCCTTCAAGACTCCACCCTAATCCCACCTTCTACAAAGAGCCTTTCCCCATCCCTCCCCAAGTCTGCCTTCCATTTGACACGGTAAATATCTTGTTGTGTTGTTGTTCAGTTGTGTCTGACTCTTTGTGACCCCATGGTTTGTGACCATACTACAACAGGACCTTCTATCCTCCACTATCTCTTGAAGTCTGTCCAAATTCATGTTCATGACACTATCTATCCATCTCACCCTCTGCTGTCCCTTTTTCCTCTTGCCTACAATCTTTCCCAAAATCAGGGGCTTTCCCAATGACTCCCCTATTATTATGTGGCCAAAGTATTTGAGCTTCAGCTCAATATTTGACTTTCTAGTAAATATCCTGAATTAATTTCTTTAAGGATTAACTGATTTGATCTCGTTGCTGTCCAAGGGACTCTCAAGTCTTCTCCAACACCACGATTCAAAAATGTTGATTCTTTGGCATCACAGTTTTCCTTAGAGTCCAATTTTCACAGCTATATATTGTTACTAGAAAAACCACAGCTTCGACTATATAGACCAGGAGTGGGGAACCTGCAGCCTTGAGGCCACGTGTGGCCCTGTAGGTCCTCAAATTCAGCCCTTTGACTGAACCCAACCTTCACCGAACAAATCCCCTTAATAAAAGGATTTGTTCTGCAAAACTTGAACTTCGTCAAAAAGCCACACCGGAGGACCTAGAAGGCCACACGTGGCCTCAAGGCCCCAGGTTCCCCACCCATGGTATAGACCTTTGTTGCAAGGTGATGTCTGTTCTTTAGCATGCTGTTTAGATTTGTTATACTTTCCTTCTAAAGAGCAAGTGTCTTTTAATTTCATAGCTGCAGTCACTATCTGCAATGATCTTTGAGTCCAAGAATATCAACTCTGACACTGCTTCCATTTCTTCTCCCTCTGTTTGCCAGGAAATGACGGGACCAGTTGTCAAGATCTTAGTTTTTTTAATGTTAAGCTTCAAGCCAGCTTTTACACTCCCCTCTTTCATCCTCATCAAGAGACTTCTTAATTCCCCTTTACTTTGTGCCATCAGAGTGGTATCATCTACATATGTGAGATTGTTAATATTTCTCCCAGTAGCCTTAATTCTAGCTTTTGACTGATCCATCCTGGCATTTCACATGATGTACTCTGCATATAAGTTAAATAGATAAGGTGACAATATAGAGCCTTGTCATACTCCTTTTCCAAACTTAAATAAATCGGTTGTTCCATGTTTGGTTCTAACTGTTGCTTCTTGGCTGGCAAACAGGTTCCTCAGGAGTGGTACTTCCATCTCTATGAGAACTTGCTACATTTTAAATTTTATTTATTTTTAATTTATAGACTAAAATAAGCATTTCCATAACACATGAAACTGCAAATCTTTTTATGCACAACTTGCTACTCCTTTTAAAAATATAATAAAGTTATTATGTAAATTTCTCCCTCCCCTTTTTTCTTCCCTCCTCTCACTCTAGAAATGGCCACCATAGACACAAACATGTGTGTATACATATATATGTAAAATCACTCTATACATACTTCTATTTATCAGTTCTTTCTCTGGATGCAGATAGTGTCTTCCCTCATATGTCCTCGTAGTTTGGATATTTATAATACTCAAAATGACTTATTTGCTCAAATTTCTTTTTATAACAATGTTGCTGTTATTGTCTACAATGTTCTCTTGGTTCTGCTCATTTTGCTCCTTATTATTTCATGCAAGTCTCTCCATGTTTTTCTAAAATAATCAAGCCCATGATTTCTTATAGCACAAAAGTATTTTCACAAGCATATACCACAATTTGTTTAGCCATTCCCCAAGTGATGGGCATCCCTGAAGTTTCCAGTTCTTTGCCACCACAAAGAGAGCTACTATAAACATTTTAGAACATATAGGTTCTTTTCCTTTTCCCCTACTCATCTTTGGAAATAGACCTAGTAGTGGTATTGCTGGATCAAAGCGGATAGGTAGTTTAATAACTCTTTGGGCATAATTCCAACTTGCTCTTCCAAATGGTTGGATCAGTTCACCAGCAAAGAATGAGCGTCCCAATTTTTCCACATACCCTCCAACATTTGTCGCTTTTCCCTTCAGTCACTTTTGCCAATCTGATAGTTGTAAAATATCTCAAGGCTGTTTTAATTTGCTTTTCTCTAATCAATAATGATTTTTTTTTTTTAGGCAATTGGGGTTAAGTGACTTGCCCAGGGTCACACAGCTAGTAAGCATCAATGAGTATTTGGTCTGTGGCCGGATTTGAACTCAGGTCCTCCTGACTTCAGGGCCGGTGCTCTATCCACTGTGCCACCTCGCTGCCCCATCAATAACGATTTAGAGCATTTTTCACATGCCACATTTTATTGTGATCCACACAGTCAAAGGCTTCAGTGTAATCAACAAAGCAGAAGTAGATGTTTTTTGGGAACTTCCTTGCTTTCTCCATAATCCAGCAAATGTTGGCAATTTGGTCTCTAGTTCCTCTGCCTCTTTGAAAACCAGCTTGCTCTTCTGGTAATTCTTCATTCACATGATGCTGAAGAGGTGATGAGGGCTAGAGCTAGGGGGTGGCCATGAGATAGATTTAGAACTCAAAGGGACCTTAGAGGTCATCTCCTTCAATCCCCTCATTTTACAGAGGAAAACTGAGGCCCAGTAGGAGGCAGAGGCAAGATTCAAACCCAGGCCCTCTGGCTCATGTCCAAAAGGGGAGCGATGGACGAGATGTTGAGGAGGCAGAATCTGACAAGACTTAGTGACTTGTGTAGATCCAGGGGCTGAGGGAGACTCTAAAACTCGGGACCAGCTTGCCTGGAAGGATGGGGTGTCCTTTCTCCTTCTCCATGCCCTCACATAAATTGTAACACAGAGGAGGAGAGTATGTGAAGGCCCTCAACCCCCAGAGAGGCATAAGAATTCAGAAAAGAGAATGGTACTGTGACGGGAAGGCCTCCTGGAGGTGGTGGTGTTGGACTGGGTCTCCGCCATGGTGGGGGCTGCACAGGTCAGGTAAGTTTTTAAATGCCCAGAGGGGTTAAGAAACAGCTAGAGACTTGAGTGGTGCCAGGCTGTGAAGGACATGCAAGAGTTGATCAAAAGACCTGTCTCCTCTCCACCGAGGTCCTTTTCTTTTAAGAATAGTTTCCATTATCTCCTGTTTTCCCACGATCCAGCTAGACTAAGCCTCCTTGTGCTTCTTGGTATTCTCAGAAGCAGGGATTTGCTTGGGTTCTTCTCTCTCCCTGTCAGAGCTCAGCACACACCACAGGGGCTCGGCTCAGGCTTGCTGACCTATGGCTGACTTTTAAGGTTCTGTCATTTTGTCTTTTTTTCTCCTCTTGGGCGGCCGTGGCCAAAGCTTTATCAGCAGAGAAACAGAGCAGGCCTCAGGGTCAGGAAGAACAGAAGGAAAGGATGTTATAAAGGAGCTGCAGGAAAGAGGAAAAGGTGGGTTGGTGAGGAGGGGAGGATGGCTAGAGGATGCCACTCATCCCCTCATGGGGTGGCTCCAGCACATGGGGCAGACCCCCAATGACAACACAGACAGACAGGCCTGATCCCTTGGAGGGAACTCCCCACCTGATGTGGTCACCACTTGGGTGGTCCCTGAGGGGCCTTCTGGGAGCCCACTAACAATGGTTGTACAAGATGGGCAGGTGGCGGTAGCACCTGTGGAGGGAGGGAACCCCTGTACCCATGAGATCCCCATCCCACCAAATCCTCCATGCTGAGCAGATGTGAGCAAATCTGACCTTGAGGTGGATGCCACTGAAGGTGTAAAAGCCATTTTGGTGGTTTCAGTTCAAATGGTGGAGAAAGGGGGTTCACTACAACCCTAAAAGTATCATGACAGGTTGTAGGCGTGGAAGGGGGGCAGTAGGTTTAGTGCCTTATGGGCTGCCTGGGTGACTGAGTCCTCTGCCTGGCTGGAGGCGTGGGGGCCAAAAGATACATGCATGCAATGCTTTGGGGTATTCAGTCCACTGTCAAGATGTTAAGAGAGCCTGTCTTCCGGAGCTGAGGTCCAGCAAGCATGCCCTGAGCATGGCCACGATCCTTCTGGAACTGACAGTCCCTGAGCTTGGGCAAGCCCCCAAAGGCTCAGACATGAAGTCCTACTATGAATGGACTTTTGGTCACACACAGCCTTGCCTACCCTGCTTGACTCTGTCTAGCCACAAGCACACACATCAGGGTTGGGCCCCACTGCCCCGGGCCCCCCACTAGGGGCAGCCTGGCACATGTGTCCTGGCTTCCCACTAGCCTGTGACTTTGAAATGAAACTTCCCTTTGGATCCTGACCCTCCTGCCTCTGGCCTGCTCTGTCCGCTCCAGCCATCCACAGGTTAGAAGCCAGTTAGGTTTGGCTGACACCACCAACAAGCACTGACTGAGCACCTACTATGTGTCAGGCACCCCGCTGTGTGCAGGGCAGCCCCAGAGGGGCAAGACAGCCCTGGCCCTCCCAGAGCTTCCAGTCTAATGGCAGGGGCTTATGGGGTCCTGCTCACCCCCCTCTCTTCATCTGACCCTCTAAGCCTTGGCACAGTTCATGGCACATAGTGGGAGCTTAATCAACGCTCCTTCTCTCCTCTTCCCCCCTTCCTCCACTTTACATAGGAGGAAACTGAGGCACAGGGAGGCGGGATTGCCCTTCCTGGAGGCACGGGGCTGGTCCGTGAAGGGGGTGCGTGGGGGCGGGGAGGAAGGGCCTCCAAGACCTCCCCAGGACGAATCAAGCAGAGTAACGGCCGCTCTGCCCCGCCCCCTTCCCAGACTACATCTCCCAGGAGCCTCTGCTTCCGCCTTGCCCCCGCCTCGCCCCCCTCCCTTTGGACTACATCTCCCAGGAGCCTCTGCTCCCACCTCGCCCCCCGGAAGGCCGCTCGGGTCAGCGGGGCTATGAGAGCGATGGCGGCGGCGGCGGCGACGGCGGCGGCGTGGGCCCAGCGGCTGGCGGGCGTGCGCGGGCTGCTGCTCGACGTCTCCGGAGTGCTCTACGACGGCGGCGATGGCGGGGGCACGGCCATTCCCGGCTCCGTCGAGGCCGTGGCCAGGTGCGGAGGGTGCGGAGAGGGAGCGAGGGGGGCTGCGGCGCGCTGCGAGGGGCGGGGCGGAGCGGAGGGGCGGAGCCTGCGGACCGTTGCCCGGGAGACCCCGGACGCCGTGCACTGCCGGGAGTGCGCGCGCAGCGTGGAGCGTGGTCCGGGAGCGGGGCCGGTGCGGGGGGCGGGGAGGCACCGCCGGGCTGTCGCGGGAGGCTCTCTCTGCGCGTTTTCTGGAGGCAGGACCAAGAGACTTGGGGGTGAGGAGGGGGACACGGCTGCAGGGGCTGGGGGGCGTGCCGACCCTCGCCCCGCCCCGAGGTTCAAAGAGGGGCCCCGCCCACCCTTCTTGTATTTGAACTTGTCCGTCCTAGAACGGACAGGGTCAGCTCTCGGTGGACCGGGCAGCTTCAGTTCATTGTGGCCAGGGGCAGTCCGTGCCACCCACACCTTGCCCTTGAAGGCTGGCTGGACAACAGGCCGCCGTCTTGTCCAGGTCAGAAAATACATATACAGATGCATTCTCAGCTTCCTTAGTATGATAGTTGGTGCTGTTGGTGTCTGCTCCTTAAGGGAAGGCAAGGGCCCCTTGTAGGAGCGGTCTTGGGAGCCCTTGAAAGATCCCTGGGTTCAGATCCCCCCCTGCCTCTCCCCATCTTTGTGGCTCATAGAGGTCAGGCTGGAAGGAACCTTAGAGGGTATGGAATCCAACACCCATCTTACAGATGAGGAAACTGAGGCAAAGACAGGTGACCTGACAGCCCAAGGTCACCCTGCTAGGAAGTGTCCTCCCATCGAGGGCTGGTCCTGGTGCCCTTTCTGGGGGTGTTGGCCTCACATGCTCTTGCTAGCTCGGGAATCTGTGATCCCGTGATGACCAGGTCCATTTTACAGATGAGGAAATGGGAGCCCAGAGAGGTTCACACTTTGCCGACAGCCACATAGCAGAGAAATGTCAAAGGCAGGACTATCCTGGAGGTCTAATTCTCAGCTTAGCCATAGCCGGAAACTGGGGGTGCTGCCAAGGCGTGCCGAGGGCACCAGGAAGATAATAAGGACAAGTGCTTTAAGGGGATGGAGCCCTCCCCCAGGACCACCGAGCCGGGCAGGTAGCTAGTGTGGGGTGATGGTCCCCCTGCTGCCTACAGAGGGCTCCCATTGATGAGGTTTGGCACCAGATTTGAGCCTAGGACTTTGGATGCCCCCCTGGCATTCTTTGCCCTGTGGTTTAATTGAGGACAAGCAGGGCCCAGGTTGGGGCAGAATGGGATGATAGAGAGACAAATATGTTCCTCTGGAAAAGATATGGCTGCTTACTCTGCATTATAGCCCATCAGTCAACAAGCATTTATTAATCACCCACAGTGAGCCCCAGGGCCCTGAACTGGGAAGCAAAGACAGATAGGAAGTGGGAACTTACCTGCTATGGGGGGATGTGACAGCCTTCACTAACTGCTGTTCCCCAGTCTGCAGGCTGGGGTTTATCAGGCAGCTTGCTGTTTGCAAAGCATTTCCCTTGTTGCATTTTTATCTTGACATAGATTAGATGAGGAGCAGTGAAGACAGTGAGAGATGTGCTCTGCTGGTTATTGTCCGTGTGACCTTGGGCAGTTGGCCCATCCAGGCCTCAGTTTCCCTCTGTCTAAAATGAGGAGATTGGACTCGCTGCCTAACTTCCGTTCCAGCTCTAAACCCACAACCTTGTGGTCTCATGTGAGCAGACCATTTTTCTGAGGTCTTACTCTCCTAATAATTCCTGCCTCCCAGTGTGGTCTGTAAGGAAATAGTCTATTATAATTATTACCTTGCTGATAATCAGTGTGCCCTTGGGCATGGTTTCAGGGTGTGTCAGCAGGCCCCAGAAAAAAAGAATAAGTTTGGTGCGTTCGTGGGGGACTTCTGGGGCTGTCTCCTCCAGACAGTACCCAAGCCTTGGCTCCAAGACCTCCTGTGAGAGGCACCCACACTGCCTTCAAGGCAACCCATTGGCCCACTGGGTGGCAGCCCAGATGCCTAGGGGATTTTCCCTGGCAGCTTCTTTTACCTTCTTAAATTGTATTGGTGAGGGGTAGCTAGGTGACGCAGTGGATAGAGCTCCAGCCTTGGAGTTAGGAGGACCTGAGTTCAAATCTGGCCTCTGACACTTAACACTTACTAGCTGTGTGACCTTGGGCAAGTCACTTAACCCCAATCGCCTCACCAAAAAGCAAAGCACCACCCTTCAGCTGAGCCCTTGTGGTGATTTCCTCCCTCTCTCACATTTGACTTCCTCCATCCCTCTGCTTTGGTGCTTTGGTGTTCACGTCCAGTTTCTAGGCATTTTACAACCAAAATGGCAGAGATTCGATAGGGGGATGGACGTGAGCAGAGCAGGATCCCAGAGTGAGGAACACTTTATTTTATTTTATTTTAATTTATTTTTAGTTTTGAACATTTGCTTTTATAGGATTTTGAGTTCTAATTTTCTCCCTCTCCCTCCTCTCCCCCCTCCCCACGATGGCATGCAATCTGATATAGACTATACATGTACAATCATATTGAACATATTTCCACATTAATCAGGTTGTGAAAAAAGAATCAGAACAAAAGGGAAAAGACATGAGAAAAGGGAAAAAAAAAGAGCAAATAGTCTGCTTCCATCTGCATTCAGACTCCATCGTTCTTTCTCTGAATGTGGATAGCATTTTCCACCACGAGTCCCTTGGAGTTGTCTTAGATCCTTGCGTTGCTGAGAAGGGCCAAGTCTATCGAAGTCAGTCATCGCACAGTGTGGCTGTTACTGTGTACCACATTCGCCTGGTTCTGCTCACTTCACTACGCATCAGTTCATGTAAGTCTTTCCAGATTTTTCTGAAATCTGCCTGGATTTTGGAACATTAGTATTCCATCACATTCCTCTACCACAACTTGTTCAGCCATTCCCCAGTGGATGGGCCTCCCCTCAATTTCCATTCCTGTGCCACCCCAAAAAGACCTGCTGTAAATGTTCCTGTCCATGTGGCTCCTTTGCCTTTTTTATGATCTCTTTGGGATGCAGACCCAGTAGTGATGTTGCTGGGTCAAAGGGTAGGCACAGTTTTATAATCCTTGGGCACAGTGAGGCACACTGTAATTCAGGATGTTTCTTTGTATCTGGGAAGAACAAAACTGTAGTCCTACTCAGGGCCTACCCTGAGTCCGCCCTGGTCCTGGAGGCCCTGGCCGGCCCACGCCGAGGCTGGTACCCTTCCTTCCCGGAGCCAGAACCCCCCAAGCAGAAGTTAATTGTCCTGTGAAGTTTGGAGCAAACGGGGTTTGGAGTCAGAAGAGACCAGGGTTCAAATCCCCCCCCGACACTCCAGGGGTCATCCTGGGTCACCCTGGTTTTGTCACTTCTCCCTGATCTTCAGTTTCTTCACCTGTAAAATGGGGATGATATAATGCTCCCAATCCCTACCCCAGAGGGTCATTGTGAAAAACTATTACTCCTCCGTGATTGTGTTATTCATTCATGGCAGCCTTTGGTCCCTTTAGATTGTAAGCTCCTTGAAGGCAGGGGTGGTTGTGTCTGGCCCAGTGCCTGGTCCATAGTAGGTGCTTAGTAAGTGCTGATTGGTTGATTAGCCTCCTCTCCAAGGCTGTGAAGCCCCACAGTGACACTTGGCAGCCTTGGGCACCCAGTAGGCGTATGTGGGCCAATGAAAGCTTGGTGACGAGTTAGTGTTCTGTGCCGGACACACACAGAATTATTAATGACAGAGATGGCATTGTAAAAGATGGATTGTCTTCTGTACATTTTTGTGGATGTAACAGCAAACTGTCAGGTAGAGGCTTTTATTATCCTTGTTTTACAGAGGAGGAAACTGAGGCTCTGAAGACTGATTTGCCCTGGGTCACACAGTTAGTAAGTTTCTAATGCTGAGTTTGAGCCCAGGGCTTCCTGACTCTATTCATTAGGCTGCAGGAAGCCTTAAATTTTTTTTGTTTAATTTATAAAACTATTAAAAATTATCAAATACATGTAAGACAAAGAGACAGCTTGTTGTAGTGGAATCAGGAAGACCTGAGTTCAAATCCAGCCTCAGATACTTCCTAGCAGTGTGACCCTGGGCAAGTCATATGAACCGCTCCGTGCCTCAGTTTCCTCATCTGTAAAATGAGAAGGTTGGGCTGGATGGCCTCTGAGGGCCCCTGCAGCTTGAGATACGCACTCAAACACAAAGTAACAAATAAGGGGAAATGCTTTCTTTTCTGTCCTTGTCCAGGTCTGTCCCAAGTTCTAAGATGCCGGCTTTGCTTTCCGTCTGTCTGTCTTGCTTTTCTGCCTCTTGTATCTATCTGATAGTGCTACTTCCACCAGCTCCACTGGGCACAGGGCAGGGCTCCTACATTGCCTTGAAGGCTTCTCGTCCAGCTCTTTCTTGGGTTGGCGCCTACTCTTCTGCGGCATGAACACACCATCTTTAGTTCGGACGTTCCCCAGCGTTGGGCTTTCCAGTGTCGGCTTCTTCTTTCTTGGTGGTGCCAAGGGATGGAATCACAGAATTGCCGAGTTGGCAGGGCCCTCAGGGACCCTCCAGGGAGGGGGACCCTCTGTCATGGGGGGGGGGCCCATCATGCACAGCTTTTAGGCCCCTGGAGGGGAGGGCAGGGTCAGTCTCATTTTAGCCCTTGGGTCTCCAGCACCCAGCAGAGTGCCTGGAACCTGGTCAGCTTTTAATAAATGCTGTTGAACTGAACTGAATTACATTTGCCTCTCAGAAGCTTTCTGTCCATTGCTCCTTAGTTAGTCACTATACTCATACACTTCTACATGTACATATGTACACGTATACACACGTATAGGTACACAGAGGATAAAGATAAGGCTACTGGGGGGAGGGGAAGGAAGGCACCAGCAGCAGTGGTCAGGATCAGGATGAGTTTCCTGCCTGTGGAAGGTTGTTCGAGCTGTCTCAGAAGAGGCTAGGACTCCAGTAGGAAAGCTGAGGAGGGAGTGCATTCCAGGTGTGAGGGACAGCCAGTACAAAAGC